AATGGAAAAGAAGAGATCAAATTATCCCTTTTTACAGATGATATGATATTATATCTAAGTTTCCACCAGGAAACTCCTAGAAATTATTAACAAGTTCAGTAAAGTGGCAGTTTACAAAATTAACCTACAAAAGTCTGTAGCCATTCTATATATCAATAACTAGCAATCAGAGAAAGAGCACATGGAAACACTACCCTTCACTTTAGCTGCAAAAAAAACCCATCTTGGAATAAACCTGACTAAAGACATTAAAGAGCTCTACAATGAAAATTTTAAATCACTAAAGAAAGAGATTGAGGAAGACATCAGAAGATGGAAGGACCTCCCATGCTCATGGATTGGAAGGATTAATATTGTGAAAATGACCATCCTACCAAAAGTCATTTATAGATTCAACACAATTCCAATCAAAATCCCCATGACACTTTTTTACAGAATTGGGAAAAACCATCCTAAGATTCATAGGGAAGCACAAAAGACCTCGGATAGCCAAAAACATCCTGAGATTCATATCAAAGAACAAAAGACCTCAGATAGCCAAAACAACCCTGAGCACTAAGAGCAATGCCGGGGGATTACTATACCAGATTTTAAGCTGTATTACAGAGTTATAGTCATAAAAACAACATGGTACTGGCACAAAAATAGACCCATAGATCAATGGAACAAACCTGAAGATCCAAACATGAGTAAATGCAATTCAGCCACCTCATATTTGACAAAGGGGCCAGGAATATTCACTGGAGGAAAGACAGCCTGTTCAGCAAATTGTGCTGGAAAAACTGGATCTCCACCTATAGAAGAATGAAACTAAACACCCATCTTTCACCGCCCTTATCTTTCACCCTGGACAAAAGTCAGTTCCAAATGGATCAAAGACCTCAGTGTAAAACCTGAAACTCTGAAACTGTTAGAAGAAAACATTGGAAAAAACCTACAAGATACAGGTGTAGGAAAGGATTTTCTAAACCAGACATCAATTGCTTAGGAAACAAGGGCAAGAATTAATAAATGGGACCTCATTAAACTAAAAACCTTCTGTACATCAAAGGAGGCAACCAGGGAAGCAATCAGAAAACCCACAGAATGGGGTAAAATCTTTACCAGAGACACATCTGACAGAGGTTTAATATCCAGAATATATAACAAACTCAAAAAACAGATAATCAAGAGAAGTAACCCAATTAAAAGATGGGCTAAGGAGCTGAACAGAGTTCTCAAAAGAAGAAGTAAAGATGATGCCTACTGGCCTTCTCAACCGCCTGCATCTATCTTCCGCATCTATCTTCTAGGAGACTGTCCTCAGCCCTGAATCTAGCTCTTCCCCCCTCTCCCCATAGGCAGTGTGACTTCCCTGAGACCCTGTGTGACATCCTCTCTTATACAGTCATGCCAGCAGCAGCAATAAGCACCCCACAAGGGGCCTCTTGCCTGCTCTCCCTCTGTACCCAGTGAGGGAATTTCTCTGTACCCTGAGCCACTTACAAAGGTCAGATAAGAGACATCCACCCAGGTGGGCATGCCCATCAGCCAGTCTTTCAAGAATGATGGGTACCCAGCACTTCTGAGCCAGTGAGAGCACCAGAGGGCATTCAATTGCAGCTTTCATTTTAGAAATGTAAAAAAGGATATGACGGACAATGACCTGCCACATGCCACACAGCAAGTTGATGTAAAGCTAAGGCTGGCAACCAGGTTCTTCCTATTCCTTTATTCTACAGGAAATGCCACCACCAGGTTCAGATATTGTTGTTTTCTTTCCCTCTCTGGTCAAGTTTCCCATGTGGAAATTGTATTAGAGTTCAACATGTAGAATGTAAAAAGCATTAAGAACTGTGCTCTCCGAAATTCCTTTAATCATAATCCACAAGAAGAAACAAATCTTGACCATGATGCAGCACACACTCATATGCACAGGACTGAATCAACGTGTTTACAGTACAGTCCTGAAACTGATGCGTGATGGCATGTTCTGTTGTTTGGAAATGACTCAGTCCACCAAATTGAATTCATGACAGAGAACATGCACAACATTGACTTGGAAAGTGTCTTTGCATGGGAACCATTTATTACCACATGTAGAAGAATGAAATTAGACCTTTATCTATCACCCTGCACAAAAGTCAACTCAAGTAAATCAAAGACTTCAGTGTGAAACCTGAAACTGTTAAAACATAGGCAGCACCTTACAAGACAGAGGTGTAGGAAAGGACTTTCTAAACTGGACACTAGTTGCTCAGGAATTAAGGTCAACAATCAAAAAGTAGGACCTCATTGAACTAAAAAGCTTCTGTATAGCAAAAGAAACAATCAAGAAACTGAAGGGAAAACACACAGAGTGGGAAAACATCTTTACCA